CTATACATCCCTATAGTTACCAAATATGTCCCCATACGCCCCTTTAAAGGATATCGCCACGTACCACCATTCTTCCCCTGCGCAACCCTAAACCCTGAAACCCTAAACCTCCAAAACCCCAAACGGCGAACTCTAAAACTCTAAACCCTAAACCCTAAAACCCAAAACTCTAAACCCTTAACCCCTGGACCCTAAAACCTCTAAACCCTCATCCCTTAACCCCTGGACTCTAAAACCTCTAAACCCCTGGACCCTAAAACCTCTAAACCCCTGGACCCTAAAACCTCTAAACCCCTGGACCCTACAACCTCTAAACCCTAAGCGGGATCTGCTTCCGAGCAACCCATTCCTTGAGGCCCGGAAGGTTGGGTTTCCTCAAGGCTACGGGTTATGTAAGGGTTATATTGAGTTGTATAGGGGTTATATGAGCTTTAGTCTAAACTCCTAGTATCCCGCTTAATAGCCCGTATAGTAGTCCCCTATATTATCCCCTATATAACCCCTCTTTAAGGAGTTTAGACTATAGCTCATATAGGGGTCATATAAGGGTTATATGAGCCCTGGACTAGATTTGTAGTATCTCCATTGATAGGTCCCCCCAAAACCCTATATAGTCCCCTACAGGTCCCCCCTAATCTAAATTCAGTCCTACCTCATATAGGGGTTCTTATAGGATAGTGGAAAAGGAAATGGAAGCTACAATTTGGGGCTTAGGGGGTTAGGGTCTAGGGGTTTAGGGGTTTAGGATTTAGGGTTCAGGGTTTAGGGTGAATGGCTTAGTTAAGGGTTGATGGTTTAAGGGTTTAGGATTTAGGGTTCGGGTTTAGGGTTAATGGCTTAGTTAAGGGTTAAGGGTTTGAGGGTTTAGGGTTTGGGGTTACTGGTTTAGGACCTATCAAAACCTACGCTATCGGGATATTCGGGGCTAAGGGTTTTGGAGAGGGTACAAAGCCCATCGCGCGATGGAGTGTGAAAACTCGTATCGATGCTGGGGATGTGCTGGTGCTGGGAAAAAAGAGGTGTTTAGGGTTTAGGGCTAACTCCTCGCAGCTCTGCGCAGAACCGGAAATCCGGTCTTTTGTAGGGCGCTTCTGAGAGGGCTTCCATATCAATTCCCCTTTTCCAAACCCTAGGGACCCAAATAGCCCTATGTAGGTAATATCTGAAGACTGCAGAGCCCAATGTAGCCATGATTTATATACTTGGATTTCTAGGGAAATAATACCTAGGTTGGGCCCAAAAGTCTGTAAACGGTACCTACATGGAGCCTTAGGGTACGGGACGATGGTAAAACCTGAGCCCTGTACAAATCTGCAGGTAAATCCCCCATCCAGTAGTGGCTAGCACAAGGGACTATTGCAGGTATATCGAGGCCTTATAAACTCCATATTAAGGATCTATTACTATAGGGGCGATTGACCTAACGTATACTTCATTGGTTACTACATCTGCGTAGCGTTCCTGATGGTTGCGCCACTTGCGCTTGTATTCTGTTGGTAAATTCTGTATTCTGAGGGACTTGCGGACTGTAGTATACCCAAGGACCCTAAACCCAAGTACCCTAAACCCTAAACCCAAGCACCCTAAACCCTAAGCCCTATACTCATGTTAGCTTCGTGACTTCGTCGTCTGTATACCTGCTCCCAATTAGGGTTTAGGGCGTAATTGGGGTTAAGGGTTAAGGGTTAAGGGTTGAGGGCTTACAGATTTTAGGGTATAGTTATGGCAAGTAAAAGCTTGCATGCCCACTAACTTGGGGATAAGGGTCATTTTTACTTGTATTTGGAAGGGAGGGATACCCCGTTGGATAGTCCCGCGCATGCGTCTGCCAAAGATCCTTGTATAATCCAAACCCTAAGCCCTAAATAGTAGCTTCCATTTTCCTTTCCATTATGCCGCTATAACCCCATATAATCCCCTATATAACCCGTTAATAACATGCCATGGACAACGTGGGGGTCCTGACGCTTTGGGGAGTTTGCGGGCAATTTTTAAAAAGGTATCGCTCTTGGGAGCCCAGGCAAAACACTGTCATGGTTTAGTCATAGCTTGTGCGGCAACGCTCTTGGGGAAGTCCATCGCTTGTGTGGCCTCTTGCGTGATTGTTACAGATCTGAGCATTGCCTCTTTTAGTCCCCAATACGCGAATTTTGAAAATGTTCAATATGAGGTTTCCAAAAGGGTTCACAGCTTTCTAGCGGCCCACGATTGAGCGTTGGGTTTCCGAATTTGAGGGTAGGATTTCGGGGCAAATTGCCATGAGGGCGTGCATTACATCAGCTTCATCACAAAGGCGCTCTGGCTTGCAAGCCAACCAAGTGAGTCAAGCCCGCAGGACATCAAAAACAGACATATTACTGTTTGGCTAAGCGATCACAACCTCAACACCGGGTGTCAAGGTTGTAGTCGTTAACTCGCTGTTGCGACGTTACCACGTTACCTTGTTGGTAGAGAACTTCTGAAGAGGCCAAAAAAATAGCGACCAAAAGTCCAACACCGGGTGTCGATGTTGTGGTCGCTAATTTTTGGCGACTTTCCTTATTGGCAGAGTTCTGGAAAGGCCAAAAAAAGTTAGCAGCCAAAGGTTCAACACGAGGTGTTGAATATATATATATACATATGGATATATTATATATATATGTATATCTGTATATATGTACAGTCCGTATATAACCTACATCTAATCCCTGCATAGTCCCTATGCCACCCTTTGTAATCTAGTCCCCCCACTCTTTGGAAGAGGCCCTAGCTTTGCTTAAGATGTCTGGGTGTAGGGGCATAAGGGTTAAGGGTTTTTAGGGTTTAAGGTTTAGGGTGTTTTAGGGTTTAGGGTTTAGGGATTTTTAGGGTTTAGGGGTTAGGGGTTTAAGGGTGTAGGGTTTAAGGGTTTGGTGTTCGTGAAAAGCCGAGCTGCAAGAGAAAGCCGAGGAAGTCCTCTGGAGTCACACCCTGGTACCTTCACAAGGTTTAGTTTATAGCGTTTGGGGTTTAGGGTTGAGGATGTAACGTTTAGGATTTAGGGTTTAGGGTAGAGTATATAGGGTGCAAGGGGGTATATCCGTTTTATATGTAGGCGATGCAGAAGTTGTTCAAGGGTATCTCGGGCTTGGGAGTATCTTGCGGGTGGTTAACGCGGAACCGAAGTGATTATCAAAAGCCCCCCCCCTAAGGAATTTAGACTATAGCTCAGATGGTTTAGGGCTTAGGAGCCTTTGAGCGACGGCATGTAGGGACTCCTAAATTAGCCCTAGTATCCCCTATAAACCGTGGCAATAGGCAAGAAGCCTGAATGGTAGCTTCCATTTTCTTTTCCACTCCCCTATATACCCCTACATAACCCCTAGCATCTCCTATAAACCCTACATACCCCTATGTTAAACCGTAGAATAACTCCTAGAGGCCCCTTGAAAGGCAAGAATGAAAAGGAGCCTCCGGAGCTCCTGAAAATTACATTGTTCATATTGTAGTATAATAGGGGTTGCATAGGGGTTATATATATATATAATGATATATAAGCATAATATATTTGAGTATATGGGGGGTTCTGTATGTTTAGGGAGTAGGGGTTTTATATAGGGATACTGGAAAAGACAATGGAAACTACTATAATGGGGCTATATAGGGTTTAGGGTTTAAGGATCACGCGTCCCATGTGTGGGTTTGACCTGAAGGTCCTTTGGGAGGGTTCCTGTAGGTCTGTAAGAAAATATTGGGAAAACAACTGTGCATGACGGCCATTGTGGGGAACAGGATCTTTGATCAGATGTTTTCCAGCAGACAGCACGAACAAAAATGCAGACTCGCATCGGGCACATGAAACAACACTTCGCTGCTGGCCGCCATACCACAGACCTGTTTAGGATGGTGACGAAGACTTCCAATGCAAGACCATTCGTCCCAAGCCCTGAGCCGCGAGTTGTTGCCGAACCGTTTAAGGGTTAGGGCTTAGGATTCAGTGTTTAGGGTTCAGGATTTAGAGTTTAGTGTCTAGGGTTTAGGTTTTCAGGGTTCAAATCTTAAACCGAAAGCGCTACTAAGCCCTAAACCCCGAGCCCTAAATCCTAAACCCTACAACCTACATCGTAAACCCCAAACTCTAAACCTTAAACCCCAAACACTAATCCTAAAAACCTTAAACTTACACTCAAACCCCCAAATATGCTAAACCCATATCCCGTCACCCTTCAGCCCTAAGCCCCCCAAATCCTAAACCCCCCAGGATGGGCTATTAGACCTTAAAGCGCCCTTAATCTACCCTTGTTAAAGCCCATACAGGCCAAGTCAGTGAAAGGTGCTTCCCATCTCCGCGCAGGAGTTGGTTGGGATTGCCTGCCATGCTTTAGGGGATGCTAGGGTTTATAGGGTTAAGGGCTGGGGGTTAGTAGGGAATAAGGAACTATGTTATTTAGGGAGTATATACAGGTTGCTGTATATGGTTAAACCCTAAACCCTAAACCTCATCCTTACTAACTACCAGTAAGTTTAGGGGATGTTAGGCTTAGGATGTCTGGAAGTTACCCGGTCTGGGGTTTAGGGGGTTCGGGGTTTAGGGGTTTAGGGGCTAGGGTCTTAGGGTTGGGGGTTTAGGGGTTTAGGGGCTAGGGTCTTAGGGTTTGGGGTTGGGAGGTTGGGGGTTTAGGGGTTCAGAGTTTGAGGTTAAGGGTCATAAGCTTCTAGGCTTAAGTACGGCAACAGGGTTTAGTGCAAGGCTTAGGGGGTATTGGGGCTATAGGGTTACAGGATTACGGGATTTAGGCTTCTGGAGTTTAGGGGTATAGGGTTTAATCAGGCCTTTCAAGTTCAGCTTTGGGTTCAGTGGGTTGTGGGGTTCAGGGCTTTCGGCTTAACGCTTATCGGAAGGTGTTGCTACTTTCCATGTATGTAGCGAGGGGCTGCTCAGCATTAGCCCCCTGAACCCTAAAATTAAAATGCATCTTTCTGAGCCCCTTTACTGCAGGACCCATGTATCAGGATCTCCGCCTCACCAGAAACCCTGAAAGGGGGAGGGCCCATGTTTAGGGTTTAGACATCAGCGACAGTCATTCTCCAAAACACAAATACCGTAAGACCTACACTTCGAACCATGAACCCAGGGTTTAGGGTGTAGGTTCTAAAAAGGCAGTATAACAAGGAATGCTCAAGGACAGAACACGCCCCACATAGTGTACGTAATCGCAAATAATGCCACCAGCGAACAATAACACTACCTGATAGTCCCAATACGTGATCCAGGACAATCATTACAACATAGCCAATTCCCGCACCCTAACCCCCAAAGACCCTAAACCGCTAAACCCCAAACCCATAATGCTCCCCCTAAAAAAACGCCACACAACTAAAACTAAACCCCTAAACCCTAAGCCATTAACCCTAAACCCTACATTCTGGCCGCTTTGGCTGCCTGACTCATGATCTCGAAGCGACACGCGCATCATGAACTGATTCGTGTAACGCTTGGGCCAGTCCTCCAGAACTATTGAGCGCAGGGCTTAAGGGTTAGGTTAAGGGCTTAGGGTTTAGGCCTTAGGGTTTAGGGTTTGGGGGGTTTAGGGCTTAGGGTTCCCTGGACCCAAAAAGGAAAACAATAGCCCGAAAACCCCTAAGAAACAGTCCAAAAGGTCATTTTTCTACATACTCTTTGGGTTCAGGTAATCCCTAAACCCTCAACCTTCAGCCCTGAATCCATTCTCGGAGCTCAAGTAGACCAGTCTTGGACGTGTTTTTTGAACAAGGCCCGCGCGACGAACTTCTTGGTCTCGAGCTTAGGGTGAAGGAAAGGACACCCTCAGGGTTTAGGGTTTTAGGGTTTAGGGTTTTAGGGTTTTAGGGTTTTAGGGTTTTAGGGTTTTAGGGTTTAGGGTTTAGGGTTCAGGGTTTAGGGCTTAGGGCTTGGGGTAAACCCTAAGCCCCAAACCTTGTAAAGGGACTCCATACTAGGCGACCTTTGAAAGGGATCTCAGGAAGCCTGGGCGGCCTCAGGGAGGTCTAGGGGAGTCCTCACAGGGATTTGGGGCTAAAGGTTTAGGGTTTAGGGTTTAGGGATTTGGGGCTAAAGGTTTAAAGTTATTGGATCACGTTTAGAGCTTTGAGGTTTCGGGCTTGAGGTTTAGGAGTTAAGGCTTGTAAGGGGCTTGGGAATCATAGTTTGAGTATTTAGATTACGGCTTTGCATTAAGTTAAGGGTTCAGGGTTTGGGGCTGTAAGCTGTTAAGTCGCTGACTATTGACTGTATATCCACATAGTCGTAGCTTAGTTCAGGTTCCTTGCCAGCAATGTGAGTTATAGTCTGAACTCCTAGTATCCCCCTTATTACCCCATAATACTCCCCTATATAATCTCCTATATAATCTCCTATATAACTCCCATTACGGAGTTTAGATTCCAGCTCCTATAGTAGCGCATCGTGGAAAGGAGGGCTGGTGCCTTCCTGCTCGGCTTTCCACAGGTTTCTTACATGACTTGGCCTAAACCCTAAGACCTACACTGGGATCAATCAAATCCTGGGCAAGAGGAAATCTTCAGGCTGCGACCTGCTAAGGCCTCAGGGGATTTTCTTACTGGGGGTTAGTATAGGGAATGTAGGAATATTGTATGTAGGTGGTATTTAGGGATCTTATGCCCCGCTAATACGAACCAGTAAGTTAGCTTTCTGGCCATAAACTGAACATCTTGCGCTCTTGCCGGGACTAGAGATGTTTGTCGGACGGTACTGTTCACGTAGCAAGCCTAGGACGCACGATTGAATTCGTAGGAACGGGTGACGGGTAAATCTGGGATCACAATAAAAACCTGCAAATTCTACTATTCGGAAACGGGCTACCTGATGCCAAGGATTGACCAATTGTCCGAAAAAAAACCGAGAAAGTGTGTTGGGTCTTATTATCACTATTACTACTATTACTATTACTATTACCATTACTATTACTCTTCCTATAACTATTACTATTCCTATTACTATTACTATTTCTATTTACTATTTACTATTTACTATTACCATTATTTCGTATAGGTACTCTTCTTATGGTTATTATTATTACTATTACTATTACTATTACTATTACCATTACTATAGTTAGTATTCTTACTAGTATGGTTACTGTTCTTATTGTTCTTATTGTTATTATTATTATTAGTACTATTATGAATGGTGGTCTCGCCACTAGGCCTTGTAGGTGCTCCCTGCAGCCAAAAGCAACTTGAAGTCCTAGGCCTTTGGCGGGCAACCCCTCACCCTTTCCGCGGTCCTTTTGTCCACCTTAAGAAGATACAATAGGATTTAGGGTGTGGGGTTTAGGGTATAATCCCCCTTAACAAGATAGAATAGGGTTTAGGGTATAGCCCTCCTTGAGAAGATAGAGTAGGGTTTAGGGTTTAAGGTCAAAAGTATAAGATGAAATAGAGTTTAAGGTACCCCTTAAGTAAACAGAATATGGGGTTTCTGAGGATCTTGCTATGATATTGGGCAGTTCCATATTCTATCTACTGACCGAGGGACTATAGACTCATCCCTGCACATGGAACCCTGACAGCCCTAAGACCTGCGGACTCTGAATGACTGGGCTGCTGCTAAGGACCTTAAACAAAGTTACAACAATATTGGTATATAGTAAATGATGGTTTTCCTGGTTAGACTACTTGTGAAAAACTTCCTGAACAGCAACCCAGATGAACCATCAGACTTTCCAGGATTGCAGGGTACCTATCCCTTAATTAGGGTCCAAAAGTACCATTAATATTGTAGTATCTAGGCCCTAAAACCTTATTGTTTGGGTCCTTGGACCCTTAGAGTATTGGCTACACGTTGCTCTACTTGACCATCCTACGTAGACAATCTATATTTACGTGATCCGAATACGAATTACAAGAGCTTGAACAAGCCTGAAAACTCAATAGGCTTCATTTTTCCACCTGAGCCGTGCTAGGATTCAGGGTTTAGGGTTTAGGGGTTTAGGGCTTAGCACCTGAGACTGAGCTCTAACCTAAAACCCTTAACCCTTCGCAACCCCCTGCCGCGGGCCCGCCTTTTTGATTTTCCAGCCATGGGTGTTGCCTGCACGATATCTGACTAGGACAACCTAACACCCGAAACCAACATGGAACCGTATGATTTTCAAATTAGACAGTAATCAACGTGGGGCAAGCTTTATAGAAAGATCCCAATATGATTGTGCCAACAGGAAACCAAAAAGCGAACCTGTATTATACGAATGTTGAAAGCACTGCCTCTCTCTCATACTGGAGGGCAAAGAAGGAGCCTATAGGCATATGAGTAGTGTTTTTTTGGTGGTTGAACCTAGCAAGATTATATTCCTTATATAAAATGATATACACCAAAAGGAGGATAGAATCTTACTCTATATGGGGTACCATCGTATCCCCAAATAAAAAGACCAATATGGGAATTGCAAATTGCAAGTAGAGGGGCGGCTATCAAGGATGCAATTCATCACTTGGAGACGTGCTCATGTGTGAGCCACCAGGCTTTACTGGAAGTACCCCGCAAATTGCGACTTGAATTTTGGAGGCCTAGGTTGACCCCTGCCACAAACTTCGAAACCCATACTGAACAATATAGTACTTTCCAGTTCTTTTCCATTATCCCAATATATACCCAATATAGACGCCTTTATACGAATAATGTACGTAGCCTTTTTGGCTTTCATGCAAGCTTGGGGGGAGTCTGCCCTAAGTCCTCCACCCTAACCCCATACATCGCCATACAATCTGTGCAAAACCCTGTATAGGGATCTCCCAAAATTAAGGGTACCATTTCACAGGTCCCAATAATAAGGATTATAGTATTTGGGGGTCCATATTGGCGTCCCCCTGTTTAGGGAACCTACCGTATAACGGTTTGATCACCATACAATGCATGCTGTAAGCCCTTAGCTCTCCAACGTCGCCTGGGCCCACGTCCTCCGCTAGCAGGATCTGAAACTTCTCGAACTCACTTTGGTTCGGGTCGTGCTCCTTTGGGGTAGGGGTTTCGGGGCTTAAGGTTCGGGGTTTAGGGCTCGGCGTTTCGGGTTTAGGGCTTGAGGTTTGGGGTTTGAGGTTTAGGGCTGGAGCTTTTGCTTCCCCTCAGGGATGGGAAGCCCTTGTGGAGTTCCTCAATAACTGGTGCTCAACAGTGAGGGGACAGTGAACTCTCGCACTAACCTCATGGGTATATACAGGGATTGCATAGGGACCATTACACCCTAAACCCCAAGCCGGTTCACTCCCATTCTTGGCACGTGGCAATTGTGGTTAGGGGCATAGCCATCGTCTGACCGTTCTTTTGGGCTTAGGGTTTCAGGGTGTCAGGGTTTAAGAATGCTCTGGGGTTTTCAACTAAACCCTCAACCCTAAACTAAGGTTTTAAGGTTTCAGGGGCTTGGAGCTTGAGCCTAGGGTACTCCAGAAGCTTGAGGAGAGCTGCGTGCCAATCCGATGAAGCCCTACAATTATGTAGGGTTTGGGGGTTTATGGTTCAGGGTTCAGGGTTTAAGGGTTCAGGTTTTAGGGTTTCGGAATTAATTATGCAGGGTTTGGGGTTGATGGTGCCTAGAGCACTGTTCTTACAACCAATAATGGAGAATCAAATGAAAAAACCGATGGAGGATTAGAAGCTGGAAGTGTCTCGGGACACGCAAGATTTGAGGTTCCTTGAGAAATACTTCGCTTCTGGTGATTAAGTAGGAAATGAGTCCAAAACAACTGGCAACTACTTTGTCATGAGGGTTTAGGGTTTGGGGTGGTCAGCAGGAATGAAGGAATAGGATACAGCTATCGCTCTTCAAAACATCTCCTCCATTCATGCACTCTTCTAACCCTAAACCCACAACCCTAAACCCTAAACGTTAAATTTGACGCCTGGTCCTTAACCCGGTTAACCCAGTTTAGGGCTTGGGGTAGAACACTTCTCGAATCATGTTAGGGATCCTAGCAGGAATCCCCTCTGCCCAGGAATCCCCTCTGCCAATATGAAAGCCCCACACCTCTGATTATGGGTTTATATTGGGGTTAATAGTAAGAATAATGGAAAAGAAAATGGAAACTACAATATAATATTCTGGGGTTATATTGGGAGAATGGAAACTAGTCAAATTTTCCAATGTGTTGGTTTATTACAAGGAGAATGTTAAACATAGCTGGATTTTAAGATTATGGTGGCTTCCCCATTTTCGGGATTCAAGAGTAAGGAACCCAATACCACTTAACGAATTACTCCTTACATCATATTAAGGATCCGAGTACCACCTTAAAGCGTCTTTCATAATTAAAGCATGCTAAATGCTCTGGGAAGTTTGTAAACCTGTAACCCCGATGTAACCCCAACATTACCCCGATATAACCCTAATAGAACCCCAATATAACCCTAGCCTAATATTCTCTGGGTAGTTTGTAAACACTCCCACTTCTGCCCGGGCGCTGGAAGCACCCGCTCCGCACCGGATCCGCAGCAGCAGCAACAGCAGCCCATGGCTCAGAACGTTTAGGGTTTAGGGTTTAGGGTTTAAGGTTTAGGGTTCATGGTTTAGGGTTTAGACTACGGCCCCAAGAAAATTTAAGGCTTAGGGATCCTGAACTCTAAGACTTAAACCCATTGTTACAGATTTTCCCATACAGTCCACTCATGGAATATTGGCAGGTCAATTCTTGAGGGGCAGTGGGGGCTTCAAGGTTTGGGCGGGGTATAAGGTCTCATTGAACTTCCTCGCGACTTCCGGATACCTGTGCTTGCAGATGTTCTGCGGATAAACCCTGGCACGCAATGCCACTTGATGGAGCCTGGAGTTAGGCAACGCACTAAGTCCCGCTAGCAAGCCCGTTATAACCCCATTGTAACCCTGAATAAGTAGCTTGCCCAACCTCCTAGTACATAACCCCAGGGTCCCACAAGGTAGACCGCATCAAGCTCCGGACACGAACGCACAATCAACATGGAAAAGTACGCGGGGAATGGATTGTAGAAGGGGTTTAGGTTCAAGGAAAAAGGTAGGAGTTTAGGGAGAAACCGAGGACTGGGTTGGCGTTTAGGAAATAAAGCTTAGGGGTTGAGGAGCATTCAGGATGCGACCATGCCTGTAACCCCAATTACCTACAGCTTACCACCGATTACACCTTCATTCGTAGGTATAACCCAAAAATGTAACAGGGGTTGCAAGTACTCCCCAGGCGCGTAGCGTAATGCCGACTAAGCACCCAGATGCCTGTGCTGAATGCTGCACATCCTGCTCGAATTCAACTGGGGGGTTGTGTCAAAGGTGCTTGTAAAGAAGAGACCCTTGTGAATACACTTCCGTGAAAAGCTGTCTTAACCAAAAATGGGAACCTGCAATATGGTCATGCGGGGGAAACGGATTTGTTCCTTGGAACAACTACCACTTACACACGCGCCATGAGTCAGGAGCCTAAACCACATCCTAAGCCCTAAACCCTATGCCATAAAACCCCTTAAAGCAGCTGCAAGTCAAAACCGTTGATTCTCCCGTTACTTGGGGCTGATATTCCCAAACCCTATAATTAAGCCCTAATCCCGTAATCCTGAACCCTAATCCCGAAATCCTAAAACCTTCACCCTACATATATCCCTTTCCGTCCCTAGCGACACGAACCCTCTACTAAGACGAGGCACTTCGGCATCGGGCGGAGGCAAACCCATGAACTCCGCGATGTGCGGTAGATGGCCTCAGTTTTGAGTTTTAGGCTTTGGGGTTACTTGGAGGTCAAGGGATTGGGGATTTGGTTTTGCCGTTTAGCGGCACTGCCCCCCCCCCCAAGTCATGAAGAATCAACTGGAGAAGCGAAGGGGGGAAAACGGAAACTTCCTAAACCCTAACCCCTAAGCCCTAAACCCTATATTAGGATTGTTTAGGGCTTAGGATCTCCCCAAAAAGGGGCTCTCTGTATTGCGGAGTCCCTGTCTTGCAAACTATCACATAAAGATACTTGGTTGGCCTTTGGAACCCTTTGAAGAATATTAGTATATTGTTATTATTATTGTTATTATTCTTGTTGTTATTATTATTGTTATTCTTGTTATTATTATTGTTATTATTATTGTTATTATTATTGTTATTATTATTGTTATTATTATTATTGTTATTATTCTTGTTATTATTATTGTTATTATTAGTATAGGGTCCTTATGAAACCAATTAGGGAAAATATTTAGGTATCCCAAAGGCCAACCCAGGATATGTCATTCTAGAGCTTGTCAGAACTATGGTTCCGCTTTAGGCTCCCAAGCATGTATATATATATATATATGTATATATATATATGTCCAATGTATATATATATATTATAGATATGTATTGAGGTAGACAGATGAATATGTAGATAGATGCAAATTAAGATCTCCCAAAATGGACACCCCATAAGTACAACCCTTAACCCTGAACCCTCAACCCCAAAATACACACACACACACACGCACACACACACACACACACACCCAGGCAACCCAAAAGAAAACCCGAGCTCACATACACGCGGAAGGTATGTTCTTGCGGAAGTTGAGTTTGGGGTTCCCTAAACCCTAAACCCTGAACCCTAAACTGTAAACCCCTAAACCCGTAAACCTTAAACCCTAAACCCTAAATCCTAAACCCTAAAGCACCAACCCTAAATCCTAAACCTCTGAACCCTAAACGCTTAACCCTGTGGAGTGCTTTTGGGCTTACGGTTTTTGAATCAGGGCTTTGGGCAGCTCTGCCAGCAAACCCTGAACGAAGTTGGGTTTAGGGTTTAGGGTCTGCCCGTTGAACCTCAAAACCTCTCAAGGGGGACTATAATTAATCCTGAACCCCCCAAGAAGGCCCTGCCGAGTCAACAGTTGCCCCAGGGCGGACTATCTGGGCTCCCATATTTGTTGGGGGGGAGGGGTGAAGGGTTTAGGGTTTAGAGGCCTCAAACCCTAAATCCTACGCATCTTATGCAACCCACTTGGCAAGGACAGTGGTATTTGATCCAATAGGTTCCCTACTGTTGATACTAAAACCCTGCATGATCCTAAGTAACTACCTCATAGCTTATCATGCAAGATGTGTACGTACCAACAACTCCCTAAACCCTAACCCTAACCCCTGAACCCTAAACTATATCCTTCTCGTGTTTGGGAATCTACTTTGTCGTGGGGAAGGCCGCAAACCTGACAAAAACACGTCCGAAACATCCGAAAAATGAGGAACAGGCCAGAGAGTAGATGGGATTCTTTAAGGGGAATAGATGAGTAAGCCCGCAATAAAGTTTGTCAAACCCTTGTGATAGCAATCAAAGCAGCAACCCAGCGTCAACAAGTCTTACGTGTCTAGTATCTGGAGGTTATGTAAGGGTTACTGCTGGGCTTATTTCCAGGTTCATACTTACCCTTAACCCGTTATCCAGGACGGGCATGAAATTCCTGACATCGCCAAAATTAACATGAACACCGGTAAACGCTGCCTCGGAAATGGCAGGGCTTGCAAAATCAACATCTGCGAGCATAAAAAAAAAACACAGGGTTTAGGGATAGGAACCAAAAAACGAAATGAGGATTGATCCTTATTCTTGTTGATCCCTCACCCCTGGATTTTTTGGGCGCAGGGTTAGCGGTTAGCCTAGACGCGCCAGCCCCAACCCTCACCGAAGCCCACCCCTGACATCTAAACCTTCAGACTTGGTTTCCCAAAAGAAAGGTATCCCAATATAGACACCGAGATACTATAGTTTGGGTACGGCCCCCCCCTCAGTAACAGTTGGATAATAAATATAATATGGTTATATATAGCCCTTAATAGGACCCCTAGTATAGACTGTTACTAGGTGGGGGCAGTACCCAAACAAGTCCTTTTTACTGGGGCCCCAAGATGGTACTCTTAATCTTGGAAAACCCCATTTCAACTCCTCAGTGCTCTGTACAATCCCCATTCAAGCCCCTTATGCCGCACATCACGCGCAAACATTCCTTTGAAAGCCCCTAAACCCTAAACCCTTAAACCCTAAACCCTTAAACCCTAAACTCTTAAAACCTAAACTCTTAAAACCTAAGCCCTCAGCCCTTAAAACTTAAACCCTTAAAACCTAAACCCTGAACCCCTAAACCCTAAACCCTAACACCCCAAACCCCTAAAACCTGAGCCGCTTCACGGCACGTCACCTGCCATGTCTGCAACCAAGTCCTCATAGCAAACGACCAGAACTTGGGGCATGTCCAGGCACTTGAAAAACTCCACGTAGTACTCCTTGAGGCATCAGGGTAATTTAGAATAGTTTCAATTCAAAATTTAGGGCCGTTTTGGTACTGTTCCCTATATACACCACCAAATAGGGTGTCCAGGCAGAGGGTTTGGGGTTTAGGGGTGGTACTCCTTGAGTCATTGATGACTATCAGAGGCTTTGGAAGATTAAATTAGGTCCCTACGCTCTTGACCCCCGAGTCCTAATGTTGGACCTCCTTTTGCCTATGGCTCCTCTATAATGAGTTTTGGGGCCCGCCTATTCAGGATCAGGGCAATGATTGGAAGGCCCCCTATAATGAGTTTCGATTTCGGGG